TTAGTTTAATATATTTGTTAACTAATATGCTACTTTCTGATTAGTGTTCCTCTTCCAAGAAGGGCGCATTAATGTGCCACTATTGTGTCCTGTAGTGATTTAAGGTTAAGCAGCAGGCAGTGGCAGGAACCACTATCTCTTCTAACAGGAGAAATTCCCCATTACTGGTGGATAGTATTCACAAGAAGGGCAGCAAGGTAGAAGCTGGCAATTACAGGCCAGTGAGTTTAACAATGGTTGTAGTCAAGTTAATGGAATCACTCCTGAAAAGAAGGATCATTGATCACTTAAAAACACACAATTTGCTGGATTCAAAGCAGCATGGCTTTACTGAGGGCAGATCATGTCAGACTAATCTGATTGTTTTTTTTTACTATATTACCAATATTTTGGACCAAGGTGGCACTGTGGACATAGCATATCTTGATTTCAGCAAGGCTTTTGATACAGTTCCACATAGTGATCTAATGCAAACATTGCACAAGCTAGGACTTAGCCCTTGGGTGGTTCAGTGGATATGCAGCTGACTAAAGGATAAATACCAGAGTGTGGTTGTAAATGGGGTTCACTCGGAACAGAGAATAGTCACTAGTGGTGTACCCCAAAGCTCTGTACTAGGTCCTGTTCTATTTAATCTATATATAAGTGATATAACTAAAGGTTTGTTGGGTAAGGTATGTCTTTTTGCTGATGACACAAAGGTGTGTAATAGGGTTGATATCCTGGGAGGTATCTGTAACATGGAACATGATTTGGCATTGCTGGAAGATTGTCAAAGAAGTGAAAATTGCAGTTCAATGTTTCTAAAAGTAAAATATTGTACCTAGAGAAAAAAGAATCCCTTGTCGGAGTACAACATTGAGGGTACAGTGTAGGCCAGCACTACAGAGGAAAAAGATTGGGGGTACTCATTTCAAATGATTGCAAAATGAGCAAACAGTGTGGCCAAGCAGTGGGGAAAGCGAATTGAATTCTAGGATGCATCACTAGAGGAATCACCAGTAGAAGGAAGGAGGTCTGATTCCTCTATATAGATCTTTAGTTAGACTTCATTTAGAATACTGTGTTCAGTTGGAGACCTCACTTACAAAAAGATATTGATAAGACAGAACATCCAGACGTCCTCCCAGAACGTGCACTCCCACGTGCCCCCGGCGATCTCTGTGATTCGCTGTTTCCTACGGACACAGCTGATCACGTGATGTGGTAAAAGGCCAATCACAGTGGCCTTTTACCACGTGATCAGCTGTGTCCAATGACATAGCAGATCATGGGTAAATGCAGTTGCCGGCTATCGGCTGCACTTTCCTCACGCTGTCACAGCATGAGGAAAGTACTGCCAATAACCGGCAGTTGTCAGAGGACGGATCAGCACCAATCATCAGGGCAATGATGATCAATGACCAGTGCCGCCCACCTGTGCCCAGCAGTGGCGCCCACAAGTGCCCAGCAATGCCACCCACATGTGCCCAGCAGTGCCACCCAGCTGTGCCCATCAGTGCCTAGTAGTGCCACCCACCTGTGCCTAGCAGTGGCACCCACCAGTGCCCAGCAGTGCCCTCAATCAGTGCCACCTATCAGTGCTGCCCAGTAGTGCCACCCATCAGTACCCAGCAGTGCCGCCAGTCAGTGCCCAACAGTGCCGCCAGTCAGTGCCACCCATCAGTGCCGCCTATCAGTGCTGCCTATCCGTGCCACCTCATCAGTGTCGCCTATCAGTGCCCGTCAGTGCTGCCTATCAGTGCCCGTCAGTTCTGCCTATCAGTGCAGCCTCATCAACGCACATCAGTGAAGAAGAAAAATTACATGTTTGCAAAATTTTATAATAGAAACAAAGAAAAACTTTTTTTTTTTTAATTTTTTGCTTTTTTTTTGTTTATAGAGCAAAAAATAAAATACTCAGAGGTGAGTAAATACCATCAGAAGAAAGCTCTATTTGTGTGATAACATTTCTAAAAATTTAATATGGGTACAGCGTTGCATGACCGCGCAATTGTCATTCAAAGTACAACAGTGCTGAAAGCTGAAAATTGGCCTGGGCACGAAGGGGGTATAAGTGCCCAGTAGGCAAGTGGTTATCTAAATCTGTGAAACAAATAAAGACAATAGCAAATTAAAAAAAAAAATCCCTGAAGAAGCCACGTCGCTCATGGCATAACACGTAGGATGGAAGCTTGTGACGTCTTTTTTGGTGTGTGTGGGAGCCGCCATCTGTGTCACCCTGCTTTTCCCTTAAATGCTTGTAATAGGTTCTGTGAACCTTGTATTTATGTAAGGGACATTTTTTTATACATTTTTATGGTAATAAAGCCTTACTACATTATGAGGAGTTCCTTGTTCCTTATCTTTTGAACACCTAGCCATCGGAGTGGGGACATAAAGGATTGTTCCTGAGAGTGCCTGGAGAGACCTGTGGCAGCCGAGGATCCAGTGGGATTAATATTGAGCACATGTTGAGTAGGGCCCTCTGTTTCCTCTTGTACCAAATCTTATTGTAACTGTAATGTCTATCTTCATTTTGTAAAGCACTGCACAAACTGTTGGTGCTATATAAATCCTGTATAGTAATAATATAATAATGTTGACCTATATTTTCTGTGGGTCAGCTGTTAAGGTGAGCGTGCATGCCTGAAGGTGGAGGAGCACGATAGATTTGCACACCTGTTGAAGTCATTGGTGCATTTCTTTTAATTGGAAAGAAAGAGACTGTTATATCACTTTTAGACTTCCTTTTGCACTTTATTAACTGTCATATTTCACTATTTATCTGTTTTTAGTATATAATCAGTAGAGCTGCTTATCTCTCTCTTTGTTTTTTTTCTTTTTTATTATGCACTTTTTGTGAATATCTAGCCCAGTTGAACATTTACTTGATTCATCACTTATCTATTCCATTGGGGGGCTGATTGCTCAGCCAGGCATTTGTTTTACAATCATTTGATACTGTTTTTGTTGGTTTTTACACTTTATGCTTCAGCTCAGCTGGGTGTTTCTTACAGCTTGGCTAGGTGTTTACTGCTATTGTGATCATGTTTTATATCTGATATCTCTTGGCATATTTTACTGTTCTTGCTGTTTTTTACACTTTATTCTTCAGCTCAGCCGGGTGTTTATTATAGGTTGGCCACGTGTTTATTGCTACTTGACTATGGTTTATTTTGGTTACGTTTCACATATCATTTGAATTTAGTGGCTCAGCCAGTATTTTCAACAGGAAACCAAAATTAAGAACACGGGGACATGACCTTAAATTAACTGGAGGAAAATTCAAAACCAATCTCAGAAAGTATTATTTTATAGTTGATAAAATAATGCTTGGAATAAACTTGCAGCAGAGGTAGCAAGCCAGTCAGCAGTAAGTAGCTTCAAACATGCTTGAGACAAGCATAGATCTATACTCAGACAAATAGCTAACGAAAACAAAAAAAAACAACAAAAAAAAAATGGGTGGACTCGATGGACCACTCTTGGAGTCACTTTTCTATGTTTCTCTGTCATTACCGCTGAGCACTTCAGGGGATGGAGGAGATCGACACTCCCAGAAGTATTGGTTTCTGAAGAAACTTCTCCGGACATTTTTCTCTTCAATAGATGAGCATTCAGCAGTGTGGGCAACAGGAAATGAGAGTATTTACTTTCTCCTTTGTGGTTTCTTTTTTTATTTGCTTATATATAGCTAAACTCCAGGCAAACAGTTAAATGTGAAAATGAGATACATATAAGGGAGCTGTTTTACCTGCCATAGAATTTTTATTTCGTTCTGTCTAGTCCTGAGATTTACAAGGCTCTGCGACACAGTACAGCCTTCTCTGTAGAGCAGAAGAATTCTTTTTTCTCTGCTGCAGTTAAGTAACAGGTCTTGTCCTTCCCCTAACCTGTGACTGGACAGGGAACAGAGAAGCAGCAGACTGATGAGCTCATCCCTACACTCTCTGCCATTAGCATATCCCCTGTTAGCACAAGGGCAGTGCAGAACAACTGACTGCCTTCTTGTGCTGCTGCTGTCTATCTCTGAACTCTGATACAGAGATTGCAAACGGCTGATACCAGGTAAAAAGAGGCACTTACATTGCATGCATTTACAAAAATATATATTTAGTGATATATTAATGAATGCAGAGCTGCCTCAATTTGAGACTTTTTAATTACCTAGAGTTCGCTTTTAAATAACAGAATTCATTTTAAAAAATAATACAATTTTCATACAGAGTAATAAACAGAAATACATTATCTTTCAGTTAATCCAAGTTTTCATTGCTTGACTTGCTCAGAACCAGAATAGCGTTTATGCTGACAAGCAATCCTGATCTCTCCTATAATGACACATACACTGAGCTTGGCTATAAGGCATAGTAGCTATCCTGGACACATGTGCTGAGTTAGGAATAGAGATTGCAGTTGTTGTCTACGGCCAGGCCTAGCCTACAAAAATTATTTCAGAGGAAATTGCCAGATCAAGCAAATCTCTTGGCTGAATTGCAACCTTTTTCTAGTCATTCTGTGTTTTGCAACCTTGCACCCATCAAGTCTGACGCATTTTTTTTTATTTATATATATACTATATTGCCAAAAGTATTGGTTGGCCTGCCTTTACACGCACATGAACTTTAATGGCATCCAAGTCTTAGTCCGTAGGGTTCAATATTGAGTTGGCTCTCCCTTTGCAGCTATAACAGCTTCAACTCTTCTGGGAAGGCTGTCCAAAAGGTTTAGGAGTATGTCTATGGGAAGGTTTGACCATTCTTTCAGAAGCACATTTGTGAGGTCAGGCCCTGATGTCGGACAAGAAGTTCTGGCCCACAGTTTCTGCTCTAATTCATCGCAAAGGTGAATATTTCCGATGGTCTTAGGAACCGAGACACCGCTCCTCTATTTGTCTCCAGGTGGGTCCGTCCACATGCAGATATGCCCACATACGAGTACCCAGCGTGATAACATCATTGCCCAACCCCATCACATACACCCCGTACAAATACAGGTATATGTGACAGGGTTGGCGCCATAATGTACTTATGTGGACCAGTCACACATGTGTAAAGAGCAGCTACTGTGTAGAAAGCAGCTGCTGTGTTGAAAGCAGCTACTCTGTTAAAAGCAGCTACTGTGTTGAAAGCAGCAGTATTGGAAGTAAAATGACACTTCATGAATTATAATTACTGGGTAAATGTAAAATCATGTACTGTAAAATCATCAACTACTGCAAAAAAAATATTTGTGATTAATCACTATGCTTTAATTATGTTCAATTTGTATCAATGAAAATACATCCTGCATATCAGATATTCACATTATGATTCATAATAGTAGCAAAATTACAGTTATGCAGTAGCAATGAAAATAATTTTATGGTTGGGGGTCACCACAACATGAGGAACTGTATTAAAGGGTCGCGGCATTAGGAAGGTTGAGAACCACTGCCTTAAGAGTTCCTTTCACTGGAACTAAGGGGCCAAGCCCAACCCCTGAAAAACAACCCCACACCATAATCCCCCCTCCACCAAACTTTACACTTTACACAATGCATTTAAGCAAGTACCGTCCTCCTGGCAACCGCCAAACCTAGACACATCCATCGGATTGCCCGACAGAGAAGCATGATTCGTCACTCCAGAGAACACGTCTCCATTGCTCTAGTGTCCAGTGGCGGCATGCTTTACACCACTGCATCGGACGCTTTGCATTGCACTTGGTGATGTAAGGCTTGGATGCGGCTGCTCGGCCATGGAAACCCATTCCATGAAGCTCTCTACGCACTGTTGTTGTGCTAATCTGAAGGCCACACGAGGTTTGGAGGTCTTTAGCCATTGACTCTGCAGACAGTTGGACACTTCTGCACACTGTGCGCATCAGCATGCGCTGACCCCGCTCTTTCATTTTACATGGCCTCCCACTTTGTGGCTGAGTTGCTGTTGTTCCCAGTTGCTTCCACTTTGTCATAATACCACTAACAGTTGACCGTGGAATATTTAGTAGCAAGGAAAATTTGCAGATGGACTTATTGCACAGGTGGCAACCCAACACGATACCACGCTTGAATTCACTGAGCTCCTGAGAGCGACCCATTTTTTTACAAATGTTTGTAGAAGCAGTTTGCATACCTAGGTGCTTGATTTTATACACCTGTGGCCATGGAGGTGAATGGAACACCTGAATCCATTGATTTGGCTGGGTGTCCCAATACTTTTGGCAATATAGTGTGTATATATATATATATATATATATATATATATATATACACACACATATATACAGTCATGGCCGAAATTGTTGGCACCCTTGATATTTCTCCAGGAAATCATGTATTTCTCACGAAACGTATTGCATTAACACATGTTTTGCTATACACATGTTTATTCCCTTTGTGTGTATTGGGACAAAACAAAAAAAAGGGAGGAAAGAAAGCAAATTCGACATAATGTCACACAAACCTCCAAAAATGGGCTGGACAAAAGTATTGGCACCCTTTCACAACTGCGGATAAATAAGAATGTTACAAGCATGTGATGCTCCTGTAAACTCACCTGGGGCAAGTAACAGGTGTGGGCAATATAGAAATCACACCTGAAAGCAGATAAAAAGGAGAGACGTTCACTTAACCTTTGCATTGTGTGTCTGTCTGTGCCACACTAAGCATGGACAACAGAAAGAGGAGACGAGAACTGTCTGAGGACCTGAGAACCAAAATTGTGGCAAAATATCAACAATCTCAAGGTTACAAGTCCATCTCCAGAGAACTAGATTTGCCTTTGTCCACAGTGCGCAACATTATCAAGAAGTTTGCAACCCATGGCACTGTAGCTAATCTCCCTGGTCGTGGACGGATGAGGAAAATTGATGAAAGATTGCAACGCAGAATAGTCCGGATGGTGGATAAGCAGCCCCAAACATGTTCCAAAGACATTCAAGCTGTCCTGCAGGCTCAGGGAGCATCAGTGTCAGCGCGAACTATCCGTCGACATTTAAATGAAATGAAACGCTATGGCAGGAGACCCAGGAGGACCCCACTGCTGACACAGAGACATAAAAAAGCAAGACTACAGTTTGCCAAAATGTACTTGAGTAAGCCAAAAGCCTTCTGGGAAAACGTCTTGTGGACAGATGAGACCAAGATAGAGCTTTTCGGTAAAGCACATCATTCTACTGTTTACCGAAAACGGAATGAGGCCTACAAAGAACAAAACACAGTACCTACGGTAAAATATGGTGGAGGTTCAATGATGTTTTGGGGTTGTTTTGCTGCCTCTGGCACTGGGTGCCTTGACTGTGTGCAAGGCATCATGAAATCTGAGGATTACCAAAGGATTTTGGGTCGCACTGTAGGGCCCAGTGTCAGAAAGCTGGGTTTGCGTTCAAGATCCTGGGTCTTCCAGCAGGACAATGACCCCAAACATACGTCAAAAAGCACTCAGAAATGGATGGCAAAGAAGCGCTGGAGAGTTCTGAAGTGGCCAGCAATGAGCCCAGATCTAAATCCCATTGAACACCTGTGGAGAGATCTTAAAATTGCTGTTGGGAAAAGGTGTCCTTCCAATAAGAGAGACCTGGAGCTGTTTGCAAAGGAAGAGTGGTCCAAAATTCCGGGTGAGAGGTGTCAGAAGCTTATTGATGGTTATAGGAAGCGACTGATTTCAGTTATGTTTTCCAAAGGGTGTGCAACCAAATATTAAGTTAAGGGTGCCAATACTTTTGTCCAGCCCATTTTTGGGGTTTTGTGTGACATTATGTCATATTTGCTTTTCTGCCTCTGTTTTATATTTGTTCCAATACATACAAAGGGAATAAACATGTGTATAGCAAAACATGTGTTAATGCAATACCTTTTTTGTGTGAAATACTTGATTTTCAGGAAAAATATCAAGGGTGCCAACAATTTCGGCCATGACTGTATATAATTTTTTTTTTTTAATCAGATTTTTATTTATGTCCTTTTTCACAAAAACAAGGTCTGTCCATTCACAAAACATTTAAACACCCTACAAACGTTACAGCTACACACAAACACACAAGTAGATAGACATACATACTATGCATATCCCAATGTGGTAATTTGAACAGGAATATTCCACATTATGTAAACCCCCTATCCAATGGCAAAGACTTCATCACGCAGCACCCCTTAGTTATTTCTGACCTAATAGAGGGTTTTACCATTCACAAGCCCTTGTCTTAGCACATATAATGTGTTCACACCCTTCTCTCAATTCATGCCATTGCTTCCATATCAAATGATGATTTTCAATAGTGCCTCTCTGTTCATATGTAATGTATTCAAATGCTAGCATTTTATTATGATCTGTCATCCAATCACATATAGTGGGAGGATTATTAGCTAACCATCGTAATATTATTACTCTGACATCATCCAAGTATCTCACTAATTTTGGGCATATTCTCAATAATTACACCTGATTCCAAGCCACATTTACTACATTTTACAGAATTCTTCTGTCCAATAGAATAGAGGAATGCTATGTTCACATTTCCACATTAAGGGGAAAGAGAAACAGATGGAAGATTATGAAGCACTTCCTCCCATATTTCCCCTGAAATATCACTCAAATTCTCTTCCCATTTAACCCTAGATCTATATGGTTATAGATATAGATATAAGGATGATATCAGGTCTCTATTGTTATTCACATTAACCACTTCAATACCAGAAACTTTCACCCCCTTCCTGCCCAGGCCAAATTTTCAGCTTTCAGCGCATTCACACGTTGAATGACAATTGCACAGTCATGCAACACTGTACCCATATGAAATTTTTCACACAAATAGAGCTTTCTTTTGGTGGTATTTAATCACCATTGGGTTTTTTATTTTTTGTTAAATTAACAAAGACAGAAAATATTGGGGAAAAACTTGGAATTTTTTGTTTCTTTCATAATATTTTGCAAATAATCTTTTTTTCATAAATTTAGAACAAAATGTATTCTGCTACATTTCTTTGGTGAAATTAACCCAAATTAGTATATAATATTTATGCTGTAGGAAAGTTATAAAAGTCCAAAAACTATGGTATATATCTGAAAACTGATCAGTCCTGATGTACTGACGGCCTATCTCATTTCTTGGGCCCCGAAAATACCAGGATAGTACAAATATCCCCCAAATGAACCGTTTTTGGAAAGTAGACAGTACAAGGCAGTAAGAGGCAGAGCGAGTTTTTTTCAGTTGTACTTTTATTGTCACAGTTTTTTTTGGAAAATGAAGAAATTTTAAAAAATTGGGGTTTTTTTCACAATTTTTAAAACCTTTACACATACTGTCATCAATGCCTACAGCATCATCATATAACTGGCGTGGAGGTGATCAGGGACACTGACTGGTGACAGTATGGTTAAAAAAAAGGAATGAATAATTTTCTTTATTTTTTTTAATTGCATTTTTTTTCTTTTTCTACATTTTTTTTTTTTACATACAGTGACTACAGCAATACAGTGTTACCACAGTAACACTGTACTAATCTGGGGAGGTCATCTGGATTTTTTTTTACACACTATGGTTGCTTATAACAGTGAATTTTACTGTTATAAGCAACAATTTTTTCTGAATGAAAATTATTAATTTAGTGTTTACTATTGTGATTAGCTGTGATTTGCCACAGCTAATCACAAGATACCGGCAGCAGGCCTGACACTGATCTGTCATCAGTTGTGTCAAGTGGACACACCGGATGACAGATCGTGCCAAAGCGTGGCCCGTGGCGCGATCCTGGGAGGACATCATAGGACGTCCACTCATGATAACAAGACTCCTGCCTGGCCCTCATTTTACAATAGGCTAAGCAGGAAGCAGGTAATCACTGCATCTATTATCGTAATTTCATCAACTGGCCCTGACACCCCAAACTGACCATGGGCTGCGTGACACAATTGTAAATATTGATAACAAACATCCTTGTGAAGATTAAACTACACCTGTAAATGCTGAAATTATTTAAATCGATTATATGAATATAATTGTGAAATTGTTGTTAAGCTCGCTGTCTCGCAACCACAAAAATTTCATGAATTCAGGATGTGTTGCATTCTCTGAGATATGAGTTAACTTTGTATAATTAATTAATTAGAGTGTGTTTTTCAAACACTCTCACACTTTCCCCATAAGAAAGATGGTAGGATATTTAGAAGAAAACTTTGTAAGATTGGGCTCATTGAATAAATGTCTCAATATAAAATATGTACAGTATAGGAAGAACAATTGATTCCAACCTGAAATATACTGTAATTATGACACCAAAATATATACACAAGGATTTGTTTATTTATATATATTCAAAGTCCAGTCAGTAAACTTTTCTTCTAGCATAGGTTTCAATCCAATGTTTGTGCTATGACCTGTCAAATTACAGCCCCCATCCCTTTACATCACAGTTCCCCCTTTACATCATAGTACCTTCCTTTTTACATCACAGCCCACGTTATATCAGTGTTCCCAGTCTCCCCCTTCAAATCACAGCCCTCCTTTACATCATAACACCCCCTTCACATAACAGTCCCCCCTTTACGTCACAGCCCCCTTTACGTCACAGTCCCCTTTACATCGCAGTGCCTCCTCTATTTCACAGTGCCCTCTTTACATCTCAGTCCCTCTATTTACATTAAAGTGCGCCTTCTTTACATCACAGCCCATCATTTACTTCACAAGCCCCCCTCCCCTTTTACATCACAACTCCCTCTTAACATTTCAGCCTCCTCTCTTTACATCACAGACCCTTTCTTTACATTACAGTACCCCTTTCACACCACAGCCCCCTTTAAATGACTGTGGCCTCATTTACATCATAGCCCCCTCTTTACAATACAGCCCCCCTTTACATCACAGTGCCCTCTTTACATTGGAGCCCCTTTTGCCATTTTTGTTGCCTGCTTCTGGACTCATTCTATCTTAACATTATCTTTTTTTTAAGTGAGGCCTCAAAAATGGGCACAGTATTCTAAATGAGGTCTACTTAAAGAGGTGAGATAGGGAAATCAAGACTTCCTTCCTCCTGCTGGTGATCCCTCTAGTGAGAATAATATTTGCTTCTACCACTGCCTGGACACTGTTTGCTCATTTTGCAGTCACCTGCAATAAGTACCCCCAAATCGTTTTTTCTCTGTAGGTCTGGCCAACATTGTACCCCCAATCATGGGATTCTTTTTTCCTAGATATTTTGTTTTACATTTAGAAACATTGAACTGCAGTTTCCACTGCTTTGACCAATCTTCCAGCAATTGTAAATCATGTTACAGATACTTCAGGGAATATAAACCCTATTATATAAGCAAAGGGATCCGTAAAACAGCATACTGTACCCACCAAACCTTCAGTTATATTACTTACAAGCTGATTAAATAGAACAGAACCTAGTACAGAGGCTTGTAGTACACCAATAGTGACTGGACACTGTTGAACCCCATTTACAACCACACCCTGGTATCTATTCTGTAGCCAACTGCATATTGTTATTATTATTATTGTACAGTATCTATATAGCGGCAAAGGGTTTGCTCAGCGCTGTACAATAGCAAGGGGAACAGAACATGAGACAAAACAGTAACAATACAATACACGAGGGGTTCGAGGGCCCTGCTCTTTCGAGCTTACAATCAAAAATGGAGTGGTGGGAGAAGTGGAGGAGATCGGTTGTTAGGTGAGGGTGGGGTGAGCTTCCCTGAAGAGATGGGTTTTCAGGGTGCACCTGAAGGTGAGGAGGGTAGGTGACAGTCTGATGGATTGGGGTAGGGAGTTCCAGAGGATGGGGGAAGTCCTGGAGAAGTCCTGCAGTCGGGCATGGGAGGAGGAGACCAGGGAGCTAGAGAGTAGGAGGTCCTGTGAGGAGCGAAGGGCACGGGTAGGGTGGTATTTGGGTATTAGGTCAGTTAGGTAGTTTGGGGCGGCGTTGTGAATGGCTTTGTAGGTCAGAGTTAGTAATAATAATTTGATGCGCTGGGCAATCGGGAGCCAGTGAAGGGATTGGCAAAGGGGGGTGGCAGATGTGAAGCGGTTGGTGAGGTGGATGAGTCTAGCCGCTGAGTTCAGGATAGACTGGAGTGGGGATAGCGTTTGTTTGGGTAGGCCAGTGAGAAGGGAGCTGCAGTAGTCCAGGCGTGAGATGATGAGGGAGTGTATGAGTTGTTTAGTAGTGCCTGGGGTGAGGAATGTACGTATCTTGGGGATGTTGCGGAGGTGGAGCCTGCATGACTCTACTGAACCACCCAAGGGTTAAATCCTAGCTTGTATAACTTTTTTATGAGCTCATTATTTGGAACTTTATCAAATGCTTTGCTTAAATTAAAATAAGCTATGTCCACAGCACCACCATAGTCCAAAATATTTGTGATATTGTCAAAAACTTAATTTAGATTAGTCTGACATGATATGCCCTCAGTAAAGCCATGATAATTTGGGTCCAGCAAGTTTTGTGCTTTTACGTGATCAATGATCCTTCTTTTTAGCAGTGATTCCATTAATTTGACTACAACAGATAATAAACTCCCTGGTCTTCTAACTTGCTGTCCTTCTTATGGATAGGTACCATATTAGCCAGTCATGGGGAATTTCTCTTGTTAGAAAAGAAAGATGAAAAAGATCAGTTAATGATCTAAAAACTATACCTCAAAGTTCCCTTAGAATTCTGGAATACATACCATCAGGACCCATTGCTTTATTATAGTGGTATTAAACCCAAAAGCAAGTATTTTATTATATTGCAGCTTAGCAAATCTTAGATGTGGTTGCTGCATTTGTTTTCTTCTATTTTCACCTTGTGGTCCTGCCAGAAAGTCTGTCATTTTTTAAAAGAACAAGCTCTCCAGCAGTTACTGAGTTGACAAACAATTTACCGCTGACAGAATTTACAATGCTTTTTTTATTTATGTAAAATCTTTATCCCAAAAGGGAAAAAAGTTTGTTTAACTGCTTATACAATATTAGCTGGGGTTTGGCTTCAATTTGTTAGTGCACTTAAATCAGCTAATACATCTAACACCCTCCCTCTAGACTGACAATGTTGCTGCTATAACACTGAGATCATATACAGTATTTCCAGAAGGAAGTTGGAACTTTTGGTGGTCTGCAAAGTTGGGAGTACCCAACCAAATGCTTGATTTCAACGCACAAGTTTCATATTGTGCGTTAGCAGCCCTTTGGGCTATTTGTAGGCACTGGGTGTAGAATTTATTTTTCACATAAGTTTTATGAACAATTGTATGAGCTAACTGTTGACTGTACTTTATATTTGTGTAATCAGTGTAATCAGTGATTTTTAATATTTTAATTGATAATTGTAAACACAGCAGAAATAAATTGTGTTGTTCAGTCACAGACTAGATTTTATAGTTAATATTCCTGCATCTGGATATACAGTGAGGAACAGAAGTATTTGAACACTCTGCGATTTTGCAAGTTCCCCCACTTAGAAATCATGGAGGGTCTGAAATTCACATTGTAGGTGCATTCCCACTCTGAGAGACAGAATTTAACCACCTCCCGCCTGCCATATAGTCCAATGACGGGCGCAAGGTGGTTCTCTTGTTCTGGGAGGACGTCATGGAACGCGCAGCGCGGTGATCGGCGGTGCGCTGTGTCCCTCGGACACAGCGGATCACCGATCTATGGAAAGAGCCGAAGATGTTGGCTTGGTCATGTGATCAGCTGTGTCCAATCACAGCTGATCATATGTAAACAGGGAAATGTCGGTTATCTGCATTTCTCTCCTCTCGAGTTGTCACGCTGACAGCTCGAGAGGAGAGCCGGTAATCGGCATTCCGCGGAGGGGACATGTACACTGATCATCAGGGCACTGATGATCAGTGTGGCCCCAGAAGTGCCACCTGTCAGTGTCCATCAGTGCCAGCTGTCAGTGCTGAACAGTGCCACGTGCCAGTGGCCATCAGTGCCACATCAATGCCACATATCAATGCCTAGCAGTGCACATCAATGCCACATATCAGTGCCCATCTGAGCTGCCTTTCAGTGTCACCCATCAGTGCCACCTATCAATGCCAATCAGTGCCACCTATCAGTGCTGCAAATCAGTGCCGCCTATCAGTGCCAGTCAGTGCCGCCTATCAGTGCCGCCTATCAGTGTGCATCAGTGCCGCCTATCAGTGCCACCTAACAGTGCCAGTCAGTGCCGCCTATCAGTGCCAGTCAGTGCCGCCTATCAGTGCCATATATCAGTGCTGCCTTTCAGTGCCCATCAGTGATGCCTGTCAATGCCCATCAGTGCCACCTACCAGTGCCTCCTCATCAGTGTCCATCAGTGCAGCCTATCAGTTCCCAACACTGCAGCCTCATTAGCGCACATCAGTGAAGGAGAAAAATCACTTATTTACAAAATTTTATAACAAAAACTAAGAAAAAACGTTTTGTTTTATTTTCACATTTTTCAGCGATTTTTGGTTCGTTTAAAAAAAAAATAAAAAACCAGAGGTGATTAAATACCACCAAAATAAAGCTCTATCTGTCACAAAAAAATTCTAAAAATTTCATATGGGTCAAGTCTTGCATGACCGCGCAATTGTCATTCAAAGTGTGACAACGCTGAAAGCTGGAAATTGGCCTGGGCAGGAAGGGGGTATAAGTGACCTGTAAGCAAGCGGTTAAAAAAAAATTCAAGAAATCACATTGTATGATTTTTAAAGAATGTATTTGTCTTGCACTGCTGAACATAAGTATTTGAACACCTGAGAAAATCAGTGTTAATATTTGGTACAGAAGCCTTTGTTTGAAATTACAGAGGTCAAACGTTTCCTGTAGTTCTTGACCAGGTTTGCACACACTGCAACAGGGATTTTGGCCCACTCCTCCACACAGATCTCCACTAGATCTGTCAGGTTTCGGGGCTGTCGCTGAGCAACACGGAGTTTCAGCAACCCTCCAAAGATGTTCTATTGGATTTAGGTCTGGAGACTGGCTAGTCCACTCCAGAACCTTGATATGCTTCTTACGGAGCCACTCCTTGGTAATCCTGGCTGTGTGCTTCGGGTCGTTGTCATGTTGGAAGACCCAGCCACGACCCATCTTCAATGCTCTGACTGAGGGAAGGAGGTTGTTGCTCAAAATCTCACAATAAATGGCCCCATTCATCCTCTCCTTAATACAGTGCAGTCATCCTGTCCCCTTCGCAGAAAAGCACCCCCAAAGCATGATGTTACCACCCCCATGCTTCACAGTAGGGATGGTGTTCTTGGGATGCAACTCATCCTTCTTTTTCCTCCAAACATGACGAGTGAAGTTTAGACCAAAAGGTTCTACTTTGGTCTCATCTGACCATGTAACTTTCTCCCATGCCTCCTCTGGATCATCCAGATGGTCACTGGCAAACTTCAGACGGGCCTGGACATGTGATGACTTGAGCAAGGGAACCTTCCGTGCAATGCAGGATTTGAAACCATGACAGCGTAGTGTTCTACCGACAGTGACCTTTGAAACTGTGGTCCCAGCTTTCTTCATATCATTGACCAGCTCCTCCCTTGTAGTTCTGGGCTGATTCCTCACCTTTCTTATCATCAGTGATACCCCACGAGGTGAGATCTTGACTGGAGCCCCAGTCCGAGGGAGACTGACAGTCGTCTTTAGCCTCTTCCATTTTCTAACAATTGCTCCAACAGTTGATCTATTTTCACCAAGCTGCTTGGCAATTGCCCCGTAGCCCTTTCCAGCCTTGTGGAGGTCCACAATTTTGTCTCTGGTGTCTTTTGACAGCTCTGTGGTCTTCACCATGGTAGTAGTTGGCGTCTGACTGACTGTGGGGTGGACAGATGTCTTTAAAGAGCTCAGACAGGTGCTACTAAGTTAGATTAATGAGTGGAGTAGAAGTGGACTTTTTAAAGGCACAGTAACAGGTCTTTGAGAGCCAGAATTCTTCCTGTTTCTTAGCTGTTCAAATACTTATGTTCAGCAGTACAAGACAAATAAATTCTTTAAAAATTCTTTAAAATTTAAAATTCTGTCTCTCAGAGTGGGAATGCACCTACAATGTGAATTTCAGACCCCTCCATGATTTCTAAGTGGGAGTACCCCAGGGTGTTCAAATACTTCTGTTCCTCACTGTATGTATATATATATATATATATATATATATATATATATATATATATATATAGATTGATTGATTGATTGGAATTTACGCAGCTTTTACTTTCTGACTGCTTATCACATTTCTTGAGGTGTTAAAATGCCAGGGCAGTACACACCCCCCAAATTACCCCGTTTTGGAAAATAGACACCCCAAGGGATTTGCTGAGAGGTATCCTGAGTCCATGGAAGATGTTATTTTTTGCCACACATTTTTGGAAAATGACAATTTTCTTTCTTTTACACATAGTTGTCACTTAATTGATATTGCTCATGTATGCCATGGCTATATGTGGAATAACACCCCAAAACTCATTCTGCTACTTTTCCTGAGTATGGGGATGCCATATGTGAGAGACTTTTTGGCAGCCTAGCTACCTACAGGCCCCAAAAATCCAATGACTACCTCCAGGCTTTCAAAGGGCAACACCCCCCCAAATGATCCCTTTTTGGAAAGTAGACAACTCAAGGAATTTGATAAGAGACATGGTGAGCATGTTTGCAATGTTTGCTTTGAACTGTCATGAATGGGTTAAGTTAATGACAGCTCAAAATACAGTGATCTGCGATTGACTCCAGCTGGTCACATGGCACAGGGTGCTGTGATTGGTCCCATGTATCATGTGAGAGCTGTGGGCCAATCGCAGCTCCCCAGGCAGAGATGCAGAACTGTTATAAATCAGATTTAATCATACCAGCTTTGTTGTCATTGTGATCATGGGATCGCATTGCAATCCCCTGACCATCGGGTCCCATTCACTGGGATCTTCATTCAGCTGTGTCAAGTGGACACAGCAGACGGGGCGGGGGGCAGGGTTGCGCCCCCGTGTTGGTACAACACCAGCTGTGTAAAACACCTTTTTTTGTGGTATTTACCAAACATTTTTGCTTTTTGAGGTAAATAGCTCATAAGGTAATAGTTAATTGACATATTTGCAGCACCTCATGAGATAATTACAAAAAGTGTGCACGTGATGAGATATGAGACATTAGAGAAATTCTTTAGTGAACTGAGCCCACTGTATTCTCTTTCCTTGTGCTGGGTGACTGGTTTTGTACCTGCCCCACCCCCCCTCCTTTTTACTGAAGGCACCTTGTAGTTGGACTTACAGCAGGGGTGCACAACCTGTGGCCCTCAGAGACCTCTGATGTGGCCCTCAACCTCAAACCCCATCCCATGCTCCAGGGGGCCCCTGCAGTCTTCCTGTCATATACCATTTTACACTTGGACATGATAAGTAGTGGGTGTGGCATATAAAAGAACTGACCCTCACTATTTTCTTCCAGCAACCTCTGAAAGCTGGCTTCCCCTCCTCTCACCCCTGGTGGCATTCAGCAGCTGCATGAGGAGAATGTTCATTATGCTATTCAAAATAATAAATGTGAAATTCTGAACCAGTTCAATTAAGTGTAGCCCGCGACTGGTTACCAAATCATTTATGTGGCCCTCGCTTATCAAAAGGTTGAGCACCCCTGACCTACAGGGTTTTCTTCATGTACATGTTATATGTACCTCAGTACTGCTACTTTTACAAGGTAATGACTGGGTTTGCAAATGCATTTGGAGTGTATTTATATCCTTTGTCACTACTGGGAAATACATTTGAATTAAAATTTTTGTGTCTGAAAGTTCAGTTTTAAAAGGAAACTTTTTTTTTTTGTTTTAGATAGAGGGAGAAAGGGTTTAATCACTTGCCCTCTTGAGGATTTACCCCCCTTCCTGACCAGGCCATTTTTTGTGTTATGGCACTGCGTTACTTTAACTGACAATTGCGCGGTCATGCAATGCTGAACCCAAATGAAATTTACGTCCTTTTTTTTCCCACACGAACTGAGCTTTCTTTTGGTGGTTATTGATCGCCTGTGCGGTTTTTATTTTTTGCACTATAAAAAAAAAAGACCGACAATTTTGAAAAAAAACATTTTTAACTTTTTGCTATTAAACATGTCCAGTAAAAAAATGTAAAAAATCTAATTTTGTCATAAATTTAGGCCAAAATGTATTCTGCTACATGTCTTTGCTAAAAAAAATACCAATACGTGTAAATGAATTGGTTTTCGTGAAAGTTATAGCATTTACAAATGGCAGTATATATACTGGATTTTTTTTTTTTATTTGTTACTAGTAATGGCGGCAATCAGCGACTTACTGCGGGACTGCGGCGGGCATTCTGATACTGGGGGGAGCTGACTTGGTGTCACTGACATCCCCAGTGACACCAATACAGTGATCAGTGCTAATAAAAAGCACTGACACTGTACTAATGGTACTGTGCAGGAAGGGGGTAACATCTGGGGCGAACAAAGAGTTCACTGTGTGCTGGGTATGTTTTACTATGGGGCTGTGTCTGTGTGCTTCACTGTAAGTACACTGCTTTGCATGGCTGTGCTGTGCACAGCCATTCAAAGCAGTGTGCATGAACTGATAGGGAGAACTGTTTTATTTACTAACAGTTCTCCCCCCTTCGAAGATCATTGGCAATCAACAGCTGGGAACCGGAAATGCGAAATCACGTATATATACGTGATTATGCGCACCCGTGCCACCATGTAGCAGTATTTCTGCTATGGGGCGGACGGGAAACGGTTTTAAAGTCTGGCATAATTGTATTTCTATTTGCATATCCATTCTGTATTTGCACTGTTTACATCAACATTATTAGTGAAAAATAAATGAGTAGAAATCTACTAACTTATTATGGTAACACCTTATCAAGGATCTGATCTGTCTCCCACTTTGTTCATTTAACACAGACTTAATAGGGTGAATTACAGGGGGGCTCCTTATTGCCCCTTTTACTTACCTTAGTTATCCAGAAGTAAATATAACAGACTGAAGAAGTCTCACCAGAAGTTAAAAATGTTTAATTCCCCCAGGGGACCTATTGTATATAGCAATTTTACCTGTTAAAATTTGTGCTGTGGTAGCTGGCCAGAGCGCTCAGATAGCTCCCCCCCCCCCTCCTCCTCCCACCACTATCCGACTATGCAGGCTCAAGGAGACTAAT